TTGCTACATAGTAAATGATCAATAAATTATTAGCTTTATTCACTGTATTGTTCCCCAAAAATACTAGTATCTGCATTCACAGTCCAACATCCTGCCTTATAGTAAAATACTTAGCTATCTGACTCCTATTTAAAGCCTCTATTTGCAAACTCAATCTCAGCCCTTCTCAGCAACTCAAGGTTCTTGCTCAAACTGTTCTCTCTTCTAACCTGCATTGCCAATTGCCCCCTCCCACTGGATCATCCCCATGGCATACACACATCCTGTTATTTCTACCATCTTACAAACAAAATGCTCTTCACCCCCAACTTCTTGCCAACTGCCATCTCATTCTGTTTTTATTTGTTTATATGTTTATGTATTCATTTACTCCACTTTCTAGGAAAATGCTTCAAAAGAGCTGTCTATACGCACCACTTCTGCTTCTACTTCTCTCTTGCTTTCTTAAACCCCCTCCAGACTGGCTTTTTCTCATACCACTTGAATACAAATGCTCTTGTTAATGTCACCAGTGACCTCCATGTTGCTAAACCAGTGGTAAGTTCTCAGTCCTCATCTCACTTACCCTTTTACCAGCATTTAACATAGTCTGACCTGTTCTCCTTAAAGTACTTTTTTTAAACTTTGCTTACTTCCGTAATCCTTTGGCTTCTCCTTCTAAGGGCTCCTCTGTGGGCTGTAACTCATCTGCTGGGTCACTTGAGGTTAGAGCATCATAGGAGGCATACTCCCCTGTTCTTTTTTCTACTTGATACTCCCTTGGTGATCTCATCTACTCTTTTGCCTAAAATTCCACTGATATATGGATGGCTATCATATGTATATCTGCAACCCAAACTTCCCTCCTAAATCCAGATTTAAATATCCTGACCTGGTACCATCATTGCAAAGACATTTTCAAACTTATGGTCAAAACTAAACTCCTTACCAGCCTCCCAAACCTCCTGTACCTCTATCCAGCCTTCCCCACGCCAGTCGATGACAACATCATCCTTCTAGTTGTTCAGGCGAAAATCCTTATAGTCATCCTTGGCTCTTTCTCTCAAATCACACTCCAACTGGCAGGAGAGCCTGTTGGTTCAGCCTTCAGAAGATGTCCATAATCCAACCACTTCTGGTCACCCCACTGCTTGCACCTTCTTGATTAGATGATAGTAATGACCCCCAACCAGTCTCTTCTTTTTCTACTTGTTGTTACCCTAAAGTATATTTTCATTAGAGCAGTCAGATTTTATTTTTATTTTGATGTATATTTATATCCTTCCTCTGCTTAAAATCCTGCAGTGAATCCCATTGTATTCACATTAGAAGTCAACACACAGACAATAGGTTTCTCTACCTTACTGTGATCTGGCCTCTTCATTCTCTCTCTGACATCATCAACCGCTGCTGCTCCCTGATTTACTCTTGCTGTGTCTTAAATAAAACAGATTCCTTAAATAGACCTGAGGGCCTTGGCACCAGCTTCCCTCTCTGTATGCAATACTCTTCCCACGGATTTCTGCATGGATCATTCCCTCAGCTTTGTTCAAACATTGGTAAAATATGACCTTCTCAATGAGGCACTCACCAAATATCACCCTACTAAAAATTTCAAGCTGTTTCCACACATACCACAATCTCTGAAAAGGAAGGAGGTAATGGTTACTTCTGTGGCTCCTTGCAGTAAGAACTCAAGAAACTTGTAGGTATATACCTATGCATCCTCCAAAAGAATTCAGCTGAAGTTACTAGGTAGCAAATAAGCGCAGATGCATACTTTTGTTTCTTATTTTAGATTCAGAGGTACATACATGTGCAGGATTGCTACATGGGTATGTTGCATCATGTTGAGGTTTGGGCTTCTATTGAACCCATCACCCAAATTGTACCCAGTGGGTAGTTTTTCAATGCTCACGCTTTACCCTTTCTCCTCCTTTTGGGAGTCCCCAGTGTCTGTTGTTTCTATTGGTGTGTGCCCAGTGTTTAGCTCCCACTTATAACTGAGAATGTGCAATATTTGGTTTTCTGTTTCTGTATTCATTCACTTAGAACAGTGGCCTCCAGCTGCATCCACTTTGCTGCAAAGGACATGATTTCATTCTTTTTTTTATGTATGTGTAGTATTCCATGGTGTACATGTACCACAGTTTCTTCATCCAATCCACCATTGATGGGCACCTAGATTGGTTCCATGTTTTTGTCACTGTGAATACTTTCTTGTTGAGACTGGTTCTGAAGGAGGATATCCACTCTGGAAAGTGAATAGAAGCTTATCACATGTCCCAAAAGGACTACTCAACTAGCAAGGCAGAAACTGAAGGAGTGGTCCTGCCTATCCAGCGTCACCTGCCATTGTACACACATCCCGTGTGCAGTGATTTTTCTGACATTAAAGATAACCTGGGGGTCTGTTCTGTTAGTGCTGTGTCTGCTCTTTTGTTACCTGTCCTGTGTTTTTTCTTAAAGCCTGTAGTATGCTTGGTGTGGGGGGAGACCTCTTGTGACTCGTGAGTGTGGTTGTCACTCTGAATCTGCCATCACGGCTTCCAGTGGAGCAGAGTAGACATTGTGATACCAGTCCCTTCTGCCTTGCTCAAGTCTTCTCTTTTCATAGCCCTTCCTACCTTTTGACACACGGTATAACCAAGGTACTTCTGTTTGTTGATTATGGGTTGTCTTCCCTCAATAGAAGGCAAGATTTAGGAGGGCAGGGAGTTTTGTCTTTTTGTACAGCCCTAGTTATGTAGTCTAGAACAATGTCTGGCATACAGTAGATGCTCAATAAATATTTGCTGAAAAAAATAAGTAAACATATGTTTCTTTAATATTTATTCAATGTCATGCATAAGGCAGAGTGAAGACCAGGAGTAGAATTTCTGCCTTTATATTTCTTAGAGCCATAATATGAATATCACTTTAGAAAAGAGGGCCTTGGGAAAATATATCTCAAGAGGGGTTATGTCTTAGCAATGGCAATATGAAAGGAAGCTTAAGTTTAATAAATTATGTGAAGGGGAGCATCTGTGTGTAAGGATTATCCAAAAGAAGAATCCTCCAAATGTAGTCCAAGGGAGAGAGTACTATGAAAAGTGTGACCACACAGTGCTCAAAGTAGCCCAGAATAAAATTACACAGGATTACTTCCTAAATAGACCACAGTGGTAAGGGGGAAGAAAAGGATTTTAATTTTGTTTATAAGCCACTATATATCCACATAGGCAGCACTGTAATCTAATAAATTTTTAGCAAATGACAGTTGTTTGGTCCAGTGTAATATCTAGTTAGCAAGCAGATATTAATTGAAAATAATAATCCAGTTCCTTTTAACATTTGAATAGCTACATAAATAGGAACGATTTCCAGCCATGCGCATCTGGGCTTTTGTGTAATTTTAAGATTTTATAGAAGAATGGTAGCTTGTAAAAGAAGTCTCATATATTTTAAGATATCTTCACATCTGCATGCTTTTGTCATGCTGTTTATTTTTGCTGGAACACTCATTCTTTGTCAATTCTTGCAAACTCCTCCTTGTCCTCCAGAATCCAGCCAGAGTCACATTTTCTCTCTGGCTTTTCTTGGCACTGCCCTCCTGTGACTGACTCCCCACCTTAAGGTTAATTGATTAATTGCTTCCTCCTCTGTGTTCCCAAAGCATTTATCACGAGGTGTGGGTGTTATTTATTTATCTGCCTGTGAGTTTCAAGGGCATCTTCATCATCTCTGTTTTCCTAGTGACTGGCACTGTCCCTGTCTCGTAATACATGTTCAATAAATGGTTATTGAATTAGAAAATTAGGATTTTTTTTTTACCTTGGTCACTGATTTATCTAGTAAATATTTATTAAGATCCTTTAATAAGCCGGGCTCGGTGGCTCAGCCTGTAATCCCGCGCCTTTGGGAGGCTGAGGTGAGTGGATTGCTTGAGCCCGCGGGTTCGAGACCTGCCTGGGCAGGCGAGACCTCATCTCTACAATAAAATCAAAAAATTAGCCGGGCATGGTAGCGCGCGCCTGTAATTCCGGCTACTCGGAAGGCTGAGGTGGAGGCATCACCAGAGCCCAGCAGGTCGAGGCTGCGGTGGCCGGGAGCGGCCACTGCACTCCATCTGGGCGACAGAGTGAGACTCCAACTGAAAAAAAAAAAAAAAAAAAGAAACAAAAACAAAAACAAAAAACAAACAAACAAAAAAGATCCTTTAATATACAAGCACTGTGTTATGTGTTGTAAAGATACTGATAAAAATAAATCAGATGTCCAAGGTCTCAAAATTCTATAGTGTAATAAGGAAAAATAAGTCTTGCATAAAAATAACCACTGTATAATACGTGATAGAAAACATCTGCAAAGAGGTGTGTAGATTGTGTGTATGAGGGGGAGAGAGAGAGAGATTACTTTTTGCTAGCGTTCAAGAATGTCTTCCTATTGGCTAACGAAATATTCTCCTTATTAAATGGCTAAAAGGCTGCCCTTCAAAATCCTAATTATTTTGATGTGTCACAAACTAGGTTAAATTCTGTCTTAGATCTAAAAATAAACCTCTCTCCTTGACTTTCTCTTGGTGTAACTTTGTAGACCATTGGCTTAAAGCACTGCTGAGGGGTTATGCCGCTACTTGCCAAACAGTCTACATTTAAAGTAGGAAGAAAAGGTTTCTTTTAGTGCCTTAAGGTATGAATTTTATGCATTCCCTAGTTTTTAAAAGACACCTTAAGTGCTAAGTCCTTCACATGTCGCTACAAGCCTATTCCTAATTGCCATTAGGAAATTGGCTGTAGAAAGATTTTTGACAAAAGTGAACAATATATCATTGAAAAAATAATTCAAACCAGAGTTTTTTTTAAAACTTTGGTGAGCATAGTTTGAATGCTTAGCATTTAATTGTTTTTAAGTCAATAGCCTTTTTAATTTTTTTTTTATTGGTAGACTGACCTTTCCCACATCAAGTCATAAGATATATAGTTTGAGTGATTGCAGATTTTAAATGATGGTCACCAAGCAATTTTTCTGTTTTCATTTAGACTTGGATTATCACTTGCATTTATCTTCAACTGCTCCTATTTAATCCTCTCGTCAAAACTAAAGGAATCTGCGGGAATCGTGTGACTAATAATGTAAAAGACGTCACAAAATTGGTAAGTAAGGAAGGTTTTTCAGTGGCTGGGATTGTTTCTTGTGCTTGTTAATCAAAAATTTAGGGTTCTCTTGCCCCAAATTACTGATTTTCTGCAACAAGGAAAGGAATCATTGAGTTATTGTGAAGTGTTTATAGAAAGCGGGTAGGGAGATAAGATCATGGAGAATGTGTTGGTAAGACCAGCCCATTGCACACTACTGCAGTGACTTTGTTTCTTTCCTGGTCTTTTTCCTTCCTGCACAGACAGTGAAGGACCCTGGAGCGTTTGCTGTGTGCTGATGGGTCAGCACCAGCTTGTTCCCCCGACCCCTCTAGTGGGTTCTCTAGAGTGTTTTATTTCCCTTCCACATGCCTTCTTACTCTTCTCTAACAAGCTTAACAAATAGAGGTATGAATGGCCATTCTTCCCTTTCCATCCTGTCACAGGGTGGGTGTTTGCTCCCTCAGAAAACAGTTGGAGGAGCGATGTGTTGCCCAAATGTTAAATGAACTCCACATTTGTCACATTGGAACTCTTCCCTCAGCCAAAGCCACTGCCCCTAAGTCACTGCCAGCTCCACACCATGCCTCATCAGAAGCTTCTTCTTAAGATTAAACCACAAGGAAAAACCTCACACCTCTGGAAGGCATTCTTCCCAACTCTCATGATCTAGGGGAGATTTTACATGCTCGTATACTGTGTATGATTACAGGATGAACAATGTCTGAGAAGCCTTTTTCTAAGTTCCTTGTTCAAAATGGCCAGGAACACTGGGTAACACAGTTATTTGAATACTAGAAAACAGAGGTGATACTAGGGAAGAAATCAGGAAAATGCAGATTTAGAAACACACATGCACACAATTTGTAATGATTTTTTTTTAGGACACCCAGAGAGTCCAGGTTTAAAAGCATTCTTGGATGCGGCATCTGAAGATGTAGCAACATGTTTTACTTGAGAAACCAGGGTACAAAGCAGTACCCCATTGCTTGCTGTATACCCTGCAAGGTGCTTTATAGTGATGGGGGTGAGGAAGAAGTACTTTTTAAAAACACAGATCATGGTTCTTTTCCTCAAGTTGATTGTTAGTTAGTGACCCAGGAAACAATACTAAAAGACAATATGTGTTCATAGTCTAAATTCTGTGTATATCAGTAGAAGGTATTCGCTCATTTAATGTTTGTCAGGTGAATGAAGGAAAAAAGTGTTCCACTTTGATAAGAATCAAAATCTACCATGGTGCTCATTAAAATTATAGGTTCCTGAGCCCCATACTGAGAAACTGCCTCCATAAGTCTGAGAAAAAGTTCCAGACATCTACATTTTAAACAAATTTCTGAAAAGAAATTTAAGAACCATTGCTTCTAGATAGTCTCTTTTGTCAGTTTGGAGCCCAGAATGTCTTTACCCTAATTTCATCTCAGTTTTTATTATAACTAGTTATCTATGTTGTATAGATTTATAAGGATGCCAGGTGAATACGAATCTTCAAAATATGTTTAAAGTAGGTCACTGGGAAATTATAGCTGTCAAGGAGCTGTTTATATAATCCTAGGAGGAACTGAGAATGAGCCTGGGAAACATGCCCTCATCCCGGGAGCAAATATCAAATATGTGGGCATGATGCATAATTGGAAGATAGTGTTGTATTGACCACAGACAGAGCATTTTCAAGGTCAACATATTACTTCAGAAAAAACTCATGTAGGTGTTATTATTTGTTAAGTGCTTAAGGAATACCACTTAATAAGCACCACTTCCTGTGAATCGTCAAACCACTGGAAGATAGTGTTGTACTGACCACAGACAGAGCATTTTCAAGGTCAACATATTACTTCAGAAAAAACTCATGTAGGTGTTATTATTTGTTAAGTGCTTAAGGAATACCACTTAATAAGCACCACTTCCTGTGAATCGTCAAACCAATATTTTCAGGTGGTGTAAATTGGTATTATAAGCACCTTCCAGGACTTTCTAGTCTTGTCCTTAATCACCTGTTTATTATCAGCTTGTTACCTATCAATTGATGTAATGAGAAATGGCAAGAAGCATTAATAAGATGAGGAAGAAAAAAAAAGATGAGGAAAAAGTGCCAGAAAGGGATATGTATTAATATTGACACTGAAATATAATTCCTCACTCTAAGGGCAAAAGTCAAATTGTTAAACTGGAGAAAAAGTGATTTTTTTTCCTTTCCAGCAGTTGACTCAGGGGAATAAGATTTAATTTAAAGAGTTGATCCAGGAAAATTAATGTGTTTTCTTTGGATTCTACTTTTTTAATGAACCATTTGGAAAAAAAAATCAAGTTAATAAAAAGTATGACTCAGAAGTTCACTTCTAATTGAATAAACAAAGACCTGCACAATTCATAGCCTGTAGTCCATAGAGTAGGACATGAAAAAGTATAAAGCAATCCCTGAGCTCAAGCAATTATTATCTAGTTTGAGAGATAAGACATCTTCATAAAAAATAACTAACACCATAATAACAACACATAAATGGATGCCAATAAAAATTTTTTTTGGTACAAGACAGGGCCCAACCTGGGCTAATATTTTGGTTAAATGAATAGATTTTGGAATCTCTCCTGTATTTAAATTCCAGCTCTTTGACCTTAAATAAATAATGACCTTTCTGAATCTCAACTCTTGCTTTCCAATTTGTGGCATAGATTAAATAAGAGAAAGTACATATAACATTTTTTATTTGTTATTGGTACATAACCTCTTCCTGCCTTAGTTTCCATTAATATAGTATAATTGAGAGATTAATCATATTTAACCTTATAGAGTGATTATGAGGATTAAACAAGTTAATGGAACAATGCCTAGAACGTAGCAAGTGCCTGCTAAGTCTTAGCTGTTTATAGTAGTGATACTCATAGTAGTGTTGGTAGGATCATAGGATGCTGAAGCTGAAAGGAAATTTAGAGACAATCTCAACAAGCTTTTATAAATAAAGAAACTGAGACCCAAGGGTGGTAAAGTCTGAGACCCAATAGTGGTGAAGTCATGGCTGTGTGTTGTGGAACTGAATTTCAGTCTGGCTCCTAGAGTCCACCAAACTGCCCAGCTTTTACATATATATATGGATTTCTAAATGATACTTGGCTTGAAAAAAGAACCTAGTAGTTTGAAAGCCACTGCTTACTGAATCTCTGCTTGTGGAGGTGAGATGTAGAACCCTTCATGTTTCTGACTAGCATCTTACATGAGCATTATTTGCATACAAGTACCAGGACTGCTTAGGCTGTAATGCTTATAGCGTTATTTGTTTAATGCTTGAAAAGAAGCAACATGTTCTTATCCATTAATTTCACTAATTTGAATAGCAGCACAAGTGACTGTTGAATTTTATGAATGCTGATAATCACAGCCTTTCTCTTAAAATGCTGAGACAAAGCATCTTGGTGGAAGTCAGGAATACTTGGTTGTTTGAATATCAGCTCTACTACTACCTGGCTATGTGACCATGGGCAAATTACTGAACCTTTCTGGGATTTAATTTCCTGATTTTTCAAATGAAGAACGTGGACATGATCAATAGCTCTTAATTTAGGATTCATAAACTTCAAATGCTTGCACATGAAACCCTAAATTGTGCCTTCATATACCTTATGTTAATTTCTGAGAAGAGAGTATATAACTTTCATCACTTTTCAGGGAAGTCTGTGACCCCGAGGAAGATAAAAACTACTAAAAGAAATGTGGAGGTCCTTTTAGCTTTAAAATGATTTTATTCCACGCTGACATTTCTCTAGGTTAAACTTCTTGGAATAATTCAATAATCCCTGAACTGGACTAAAGGAGGGTAGAACAAGAGGAATTTGCTTTGCAGGATAACCTTGGTACGCTTCATTTGAGGGAAGGAAAGTGAACTGGCAGTCTAGTTTTTTTTGCCTGTGCTTATGCTTTCTTCAACCGAAGTCATTCCTTTGCTGTCTCTACCAGTTCCTTCTTTGCATTAGGTGGAAAGTTGCGCTGTGCCCACAAACCTTAAGTTTATTTGCTTGAGATGCTTCTCATGTCACAGGATCACATGATTTATCATTTTCCTGTCAAATTTTTTTTTTTTTAATTTCTTCTTGGACATTCTGTACTGTCCCTACGGTCCCCATGGTTTTCATTTGAAATTCTTCTGGCATGTTTACTCAGCATAATAGTTCATCTATTTACAGAACATTTTGCTTTGTTTCTAAAATGTTGTAAGACTTGTTTTAAATGGCAAACTCAGACTTACCTAAAGAAAAGGTCAAGTGTTTAGGAAGAGGATGAATCAAACTTTTAAAACTTGTATCTATGGGATAGTTAGGCTACAGTTTTTAATAGTTGTGAGTGTCCATGTAAGAAAGAAATCCAAATACTGAAATAGTTCAAGCTGGTTTTCGCAGTTTGCTCTTCTTACTCTTCCCTTCATTTATGAAAATGTTTCTTTTCTTCATTTATGAAAATGTTTTTCTTTCATTTGGAGGAATTTAATGAAATGTGATTGTGTTGCCTTTTAAAAATATTTTTATCTTTAAATAGCTGTTGAGTAAGGATTTGTCTTGTTCAGAATATCTTTTAAGGTGGGTTGCTGTCTCATCCCTGACTTGTAAAAGGTAAGATTACTCAGTCTTTTCAAGGTCAGTCCACAAATCAGTAGGGTGGAATTAGAACAAAAGAATTTACGGTATACTTGGTCTTGTGATAGGCACTTATTTTAAGTTGGTTATATTAATCTTGGATATTCATATAATGAGAGATTACAAAATATCCTCAGTAACACATTTTCACACTTTGAATAGTTAGCCTTGATTAGTTCTGATTTTTGTTCTTCAAATATTACATTGTTCAAATAGAATGGTCACTGCATTAAAGAGAATCTCCTCATTTCTAAATGAATTCTAAGTTTTTCTTCAAATGACCCATGCATATCTTCTCTTTAAAAGTAAAAGTCTCACATAATTTTATTTGATCAAAAATAATACTTTGAGCTGGGCTCGGTGGCTCAGCCTATAATCCCGCACCTTTGGGA